ATTAGAACTATCTGTTCGTTGCCTTCGGTCAGTTTTGCAGATAGCAAAGCTAATATGTGATTTGGTAAAAGCTGAGAGTCATCCTCAACACTTTCTGCTGCACAATAAGTAAAYAAAGTCAATAAAATGCACACATCAGAGCCATTGTCTCAATAAAGTGAACGTAYGAAAAAAAATTGTTGGTTTCACATTATTGATAAAATGATGTGGGACATTCGTCCTGGGAAGCATCCCACTTCCAGCCCACTTTGTGCATCAGCCACAGCTAAATGGAAGTGATCAGTTACAGCATGTTGTGATTACTTCCTGGCACCGCTCTCCAGCTTGAAAATGAAGTGATTATTATTTTTATGTTTTATATTTTCATGGGCTGATCTCATGTTTTGACTTTGTTTTACATTTAAATAAAAAAGGAGCAAGCTGAGTTGACTTCTTTACTTGCAAAAGATAAAAAATTACGGATGCTTGTAAAGGGGGCTGGGTGGTGGTGGAAGCGGGGGCTGCACAAGGCTCTGCAGTGTCGCAGAGCGCCCTGTTCGGCGCGGGGCGCGCGCTAACTTTCAGCACCACGGACAGCGGCTGTGCCAACTCACCCGGATATCAGGGAGAGACTCTGGTGAGCAGCTCTGGCCATTTCGCAGCCTTTAGTTCGGGTCTTGAGCATCTCGGCCCGCAGGGAGGGACAGTCAACAGTGATTTCCCCGATGGAGATGACCAGCTCACGGTAGAGAGCCACAAGTGTGTTGAATTCTTGCACGATCTGCGTTCCGGGGGGGAAAAAATGTAAAGAAAAAGGGGAGAAATGATACAGTAAGACTTCCTGCGTCTCTGCAGCACATTATTATCAGTGTGTCTGAGGGGGGGGGGGGGGGTTGGATGTGCCTTTGCGTGGCAGGTACACGCTGCTGTACTCTGACAGAGAATGTCTTAACGCGCTGCACACATTTGAGGGGAAAGCGTGACCTAAGGGGAAGTGATGCACCGCCATTTAAAAAAAAATCAATAAAATACAATAAAATAAACCCCAGAAAAGAGATTGTTCAGCTAATTTGGGAAAAGTCGGAGCTCAGGTGTTTGACTCGTTTCAGTGGCAGCTCCACATCCTGCTCAGGCTCCATGACTGATGTTTGAAGGAGTTGAAAAAAAAGGCTTGGATGGTTTTTGTCAGAGTGTGTCACAACATGGGACGTCTTGTGTCATGATCACCACAACTTATCCTGTAAGGCTTCTTCCTGCTGACATCAGACGCCCCCCCCCCCACTTTTTTTTCACTTTTTTTTTCTTAGCTATTATTATGACACTCTAAATGCAAATCACACACAGCCAGTTCTGCATGCAGAGGTGTTTCTGTTTGGCGATGCAAATGCACACAACTATTTTAGTCCAGGTGTCTCTTTCATTAATACGTCTATTGACCTGTTGTACAACTACATGCACGGAATATGAGATTGAGCCCCCCCCCCCCCCCCAACAAAGAAACTGCACTCCTTCACCAGAGGCACCACCGGCGTGCCGCAGACCTACCATTCTGCAGTCGGCCACGGCGCGCTGGGCTCTGCGCGTGCTCTCGGTGCTCTCCCTCCTCTGTGGGTCTCGGTGCGGAGGCTTGCCGATCTGGAAGATGTTCCCGGCGGATCTGGGGCGGTTTTTGCGCCCATTCGATGCAGAACTCATGCATACACATCCACCACGGAAACAGCCCTAAGACAGAACGGTTCTGGTCCCGATCTCTGCCAGCCCCCCCACCCCCACCC